TTTGTGTACATTCATTTTAAAAGTTTTTTTGGATTTGTTTATTTCACATGTACATATTTTGCCTGCATATAGATAGATAGATAGATAGATAGATAGATAGATAGATAGATAGATAGATAGATAGATATATGTGTATATCTGTGTGCGTGCGTGCGTGTGTGTGTGTGTGTGTGTGTGTGTGTGTGTATGCGTATATGTGGTGCCCACAGAGGTCAAAAGCGTGTGAGATTCTCCTGGAACTGGAGTTACAGATTGTTTGAAGTGACATGTGGGTACTAGGGAGCAAACCCAGGGCTTCTGCAAGAGCAACAAGTACTCTTTTGTTTTGTTTTGTTTTGTTTTTGTTCTTTGAGACAGGGTTTTTCTATGTATCCTTTGCTATCCTGTACTCTGTACACCAGGCTGGTCTCAAACTCACAGAGATTCCCCTGCTTCTGCTTCCCTGAGTGCTGGGATTAAAGGCTTGAGACACCGAGTTTGACTAATAAGTACTCTTAAGACAGGGGAGAAAAGAGGCAGGTGATAACATATTATATAGACGGGTGATTCTGCACGGGCATTTTCTGACAAAAAGTATACAGATTATCTACAGGTGATTGTCCTGAGAAAGGAAGGGGGCCAAGAATGTAAAGGAACTAAATGGTCTTTGTGTAACATTGAAACTGTCACCATGTCCATAAATTCCTATTTCAAAAAAATAACGCATTATTTTTAATTAATATGTAATTTAAGTAATGTCATGATGTACAAAATAAGCACACCCTGCAAATGAGAGAGAAAATGTCTGTTGAGCTGCTTCTGGGAACATACTTAAGCAAAAGACTGATAATGAGCCTTTCCAGTGTCCAACACACCCACTGGCTAAGCAGGGAGCGGCGGTGCTAAAAGGCACTGAAAGTAATGCAGTTAAGAAGAATAATTCTTCTGTCTTTTACTTAAATATGTATTAAAGAGCTCTCAAAAATATAAAAAAAACGTTTAAATTGCCTTTATCATGGCATTTAAACAAGCATCTCCAAAACATAATACCCCATCCACAAACATACATATAAGTTATCTACTGCTGTGTAACACAGTATCCAAAACTCAGCAGCAGGAAATAAGCCTGTCTTATCTTGCTGTGTGTCCTAGTTTCCTTTCCTAATGTGGTGTAGAAGCAACTTTAAGGGAGAAGGGGCTTATCTAGCTTACAATTCCAGATTACAGTCCATCACTGCAGAGAAGTCAAAGCCCCAGTAACTTGAAGTATCTAGTTACATCCAAGGGCAGGGAGAAAATAAATGCATGACTATTTATTGCTCAGCTCATTTTCTCTACCTTTATGCAATTCAGGAACTAAACTCTGGGAATGGTGCTACTCACCATGGGTGGGTCTTCCTACATCAATTAATACAATCAAGACAATCTTCCCAACATTCCTACTGGTCAACCCAATCTAAATAATTCTTCCTTGAGACTCTTTCCAGGTGATACTGACTGTGTTGTGTTAACGATTAAAACTAACTATTATAGTGTTTCACACATAAATCTGGGTGTACTTGAGCTAAGTGCCTAGGTTCCAGATCTCTCAGAAGACTGTTAACATCTAAAGCCTCAGCTGGGGCTGAGAGATTTGCTGCCAAGTGCAGTCATGTCACAATTGGTTCTGGCTCCTAACATAAGGCAGGACTGATTACAACACAGCATCTCCCTCCTGCGCTGGAATGACTCAAGAGAAAGAACACATACTCAAGACTAACACATACTCAAGACTAAAGCCTCAGTTCTTTTTATCCTAGTTTCAGAAGTGCTATGTCTTGTCCCAGCAATTTTATATCCACGTGAGTCACTAGGTGTGGCCTAACTGCCAAGGGAGAAGATTATGCAAGATTATGCCCAGTAAGAGCCAAAGTTTCAGATTCATTTTAGCAAACCAGCACTAGTCTCTTTGGATCATTTGCTAGCCATACACATAACATTTCAAGTGTTCCCCAAATATTTATCGCATATTTGCTCAGATAAAATCCAAAAAAGGGCCACAAATTTCATTAGGCTCTTCGGTCTCCTAGGTATCATTTAATAAAGAACACCCTCATGCCCTCATTATAATTTGCTTTTATGCTACTGAATTATGAAGAAGCAAGGCCAAAGAGCTCAGGCAGAGGGCTAAGCCTTCTGAAGCAAGAAGAGTTGGGATGGCCTACTCTGGATGGAAGAGGAGCTACTTGGACTCAGGGGAAAGACACCTGAGCACTCAGTGGCCTTGGGAGTAGATACAACCAGCTGCTGCCATCCTAGATTTCAGCAGCAGCCTGTTTAATTAGTTTCACTAAAGGCATACTATTTCCTAAGGATGAGGCCAGACAAGGAGGGACAGACAGACACAAGCTGATGACAAAAGAATGGAATGGGGTACCTACAAAACCCCATGCCAGGAGGAAAAGGAAATATTTTCAGATTCTTCTAACCCTCGGTAAACATGTATTCCACCTTGCAACAGCACTAGGATCACAGTTTCATTTCTCTTGGGATGTTCCTATTTTACACTTCTTCTTTCATCAAACTGGCCCTTTCTAAATGTGAGGAAATAGGGCCAGCTCATAATAGTTGGCCCCATCTTCCATATGTTATATCTATTCTGAGATGAGAAGTGATGTGGCCAATTGTTTATACCCTCAAAAGTGACAAAGCCAGACCTTCAAGTCCTATCCTAAAGGTGAAAGCCTGCATGCATGGCAGCACTGAGATACCTGCCAGATTGCTGGTAGAGCTCACAGTCATGTTGGCCTCCTCATAGCTGTGAGGACACCACTGCCATCCTTACTTAACCATATCTTGCTTCAGAACAAATCTCACTTCCAGTACAGTCTGTCATTCTCATCCTTGCAGGAGAGAAAGATGGCGTCTTCACTGAACACTATACCCCAGACTGAAACTTACTATATACATAGATTTACCAGGCAGATGTGTCCCAGAAGATTTCAGCCCATGACTGCCTAATGCCTTTTTCTTTGTTCCCAACACACACTTCTGTGTCAGCTCAGCCCCAGACTACAAATGCCATGCAAGCCTCCCTCTCCTCTTCCCTCAGAAACTGTGATTGGAAAACGACAATATAAGAAGGCATTCATATTGTAATTCATATATACCCAACATGATTATTTCAGACCAAGAGCTCCACATTGAACGAATCATAAGAAAATAAATTCTGGAATGTTAGAGCTGGAATAATTTTTAAAGAACATCTACCAGTTGAGACTGAAATTGTGGACTGTTTACCTAATATATAATACATAACTCTGTATTCCAACCCCAGTACCAGGAGTGGGAAAAAAATAAAGCTATCATCTAAATCAGTAACTCCTAACCAGGGTCAATGGAATCCTTAAGCAGGCAGCAATTTTTCTGCTGCATTTTGGATTGTCACAAGTAGAACGAAGAGCTTCATACTGGCATCTATAGGTAGAGAGCACAGTCTAGGCTAAACATCCTACAATGACTCAGATGCCCCTCATGGCCATCCTAAAATTAAGAAACTCTAAAACTAAATGCTGTTGTTACTTTCAGAATGAGAATACTGAGGTTTGAAAAAATAATAGTGACTATTTCAAGGTTATAAGCTGCAAAGCCAGAAGCTTATCTGAGTATATCTATTTTACCTGCCTCCATCACCTGCTTTGCTCTGTCAAGAGTTGGTCGAAGAGAAGAAAAGGTGGGGACCCAAGAATGCTTTCATTTTGCTGTTAGAGATGTGATCCAGGGTCTATCAAATATAAAATATGTGACCCAACACTGAGCTACAACACTGACTAATTTAATACACACAGCCAACCTAAAACAAAGGAGGAATATCACAATAAACAAATCACTGAAGGACACAGTAACCTATCTGGATAACCCAAAATCTGAACAATTTCATCTTTAATCATCAGTTTGAATAGAACTGTTTCACCAAAGTTGCTGATGGATGGAATTCTTCAGAGGATAAGTTCCAATGCTGATGCCTCAGCTTCTAGAAACATCAGGTTTTCAGGAGAGAATGTTATATTCTCCTCTCTAGGACACCCACACAAGTACCAGCCACAAACCAGAAAAAAGGAATGTAAACAGGGTTGGTGGAAAAGAGGGCATTAACATCCCCCTCCACACACACACACACAAGCATACACAGGCTGTCATGCTGGGACTGAAGTCACCTGACCTTTCCATCTGCCGCTGAGTCATCAAGCCCCTTCCTTCAGTGAGCTAATTACACAGCAAAGCAATTAAGAATGCTGGAAATTCTAAAGGTCTGGGTTATCTCAAACCTTCAGCTCTCATTAAGGATCTTTTTTGTTGTTGTTGTTGTTGTTGTTAGAGATAGAGCCATGTTTTACATTGGCCTGTTATCTTTGAAAACTATATTTTATTGTATTTTTTTCAATGTTGTTATTTTTCAATCTACTGAAAACACCTACCTGGAAAAAAAAAAAAACACATTTAAATCTGGACCGTTGCAAAACACTGTAAAACGATGAAGTTGCCATTCCCCAGCAAATTTTTACTCTAAATGAAATTAAGCTCACTGCTGAGAAGCAACCTCTGCGAGAAGAATTAATAAAGATGCCTTTATTGAGCTAGCACAATGGCAGAAGGAAAACAGTTTATGCTTATCTTTTCAAAGAAGCTCTTTCTCTTGGTCTCTAAGAATATATGTGTTGTAGTCCGTACAAATTTTTCTCCCCCTCCTAGCACGAGGCTTTTATCTCTCTGTCTGGTCCCTGTCCACTTTGTGCAGGTGAGCACACCAAGATCCAGCTCGCACTCGGACCTGCACCAGGCCACTGCCGGTCTGATGCTTGCAACAGCAAATGCAGCATGAGGAAGCAGCTGTGAGCTGCAGGCATTACAGCAGCCAAAGGCCTCGCTTTCGGCTTTAGAGGACGCTGCCAGAGTAGCAGACCACCAACCCGTGCTCCACGTGCAGCGTCTGTACTGCTGGGGGCGCCAGGAAGGGCATCCGGGCACCGTGCACCCCTTACCTGCAGTGCCGCATCTTGCAGCGAGGCCGTCCACCTGGACAGCATCCTAGGGCATCCTTTCTTCAGTACGTCTGCTGCTAGCACTGTGACGTCATCAGGAGGCGGGCTCCACTCTGCCACGTGACGTCTTTGTAGTCCTGGTGCTGGGAGCAGGGTCTGAGGTCCGAAGGGGAGGGGATGGGAAGACTAGATATTCCAGAAGAGGTAGGTAACAATCAGTCTGACCTGCTTTCAGGGTGTTTGTCTTGATGCATGTCTATTGCTTGGCCTTATTGGAAAAGTTATGGGAAACAGCACGCAGGAGCAATCGACATTGTTCGAGGCTCCAGGATTTCAAAAAAGGTAGCAATAAGGAGAGTATTGTGGAAAAAAACACAATCTGGTGTTCTAGTTTACCAGATGCAATAGAGAAACATATTTTATAAAAAAATCACAATGGCACCTGAAATAGACTATGCATGAACTCACTGCACTAGAGGATTGGTTTTACAAATTATATGCAAAATATTATGCTCAAGCAGTTCTTGATGAAATATTCTACTAAGTGCACCAATGACTAATACTTTAAATTACTCTCAGTAACTTCATTACGTTTTTATTTGCTAAGAAAAAAAAAACAGTGGCACCACATATCAGTTCTATTTACTGTAATATTTAATTATTTAAAATGAAGGAATATTGAGAATATGTGTCTGTGTTTATTTTTCTTAACTCATAGGGTAAGACATTTCATTTCTCAAGCATGAGTTTGTTGAAAACAACTCATTATTTCAGATGTTCTAATTTTTCTTACATTCTGAAGAAGTGAGTCACTTTACTATTATAATGTACATTGTCAACATACTTCACTCACAGTGAAACAGCCTTTCCTTAAAAGATTTTGAATATTCTGTGATCAGTTCATAGAGTGCAACTAGCACATTTAGAACTTAAAGCAGTTCTTGTATAAAACCTGTTTGTCAAACTATGTAAATGTGAGGATTAAAAGTACAATGGTAACTTTTCATTCATATCCCAATTTCACAGATTGTTTTAACTTTAAGTTACAATTTTAACATTTCTTTTGATAAATATCCTGAAAAACACATTAAATAGATTGTTTTACAAACAAGCATGAGTTAAGTTGGCTGGCCACTTAACTCCAAGAGCTTTTATTTCCTTCTATATTTAACCCTGTCCCCTTTACCACCATTACTTCCAGATTAACCACATTTCTGCTCATAAGGTCAAACTCTAAATTAAATACAGCCCTTGCCTCGCTCAACAATCTATTATTTTCAATACCCTTTTTTAATTGACAGTTGCGGTGTGTATTTCTAGGTCACTCCCCTTAGGTTTGTTTCTCAGAGTGACAAAAAACTTACCTTTATAGCTCTGAGGTTCTTGAGATACTAAGCCAAATTGTTACTGTCATTTCTGGATCCTTTGGGTTGAAGGTCTGAAGTACACAGAAACTGACAAGTTCATTTTCCTGCCAGAGGCAAACGTCGATTTCAGCCTCAGGCTCACAGAGGGCCCAGGACAGTCTGGCAGTATCACGTGTTCAGCTCAGCCACTCAACCCACCCCTTCCCTCCTGGTCAGCTCTGGAAGATAGGCTTTGCAATGTGGTCGGCCTTCTACCCACGGTGGAAAAGTATCCGCAGAGAACCCTATTTCTGCAGTACAGGAAGCCCCACCTCCGGAGGCTGGTGCTCCCTGCCTAAGTTTCCCGGGGTGGGGGTGGGAGCAGAGGACTGCAGCGCGCATAACTCACCCAGCTGCCAGTAGCATTGTAACTCAACACTGCTGCCCACAGCCTTCCTCTGTGTTCAGCTTGCCTGAAATGACTAAATACCAACACCTTCCTCATCCGGGCACAGATTTTTTTTTTTTAAACAGGTTAGTTTCACCTTCTCTTTCTCCACGTGATTGCTCAATTGAAAGCACACACACACACACACACACACACACACACACACACACACACTCGCACTCCAGTGATTGTGCCAGGTGATTTCTAATTTGAAAACACACACACGCACATGCACCTTCCTATGCAAGGGATTGTGCCACATGCCTTTAATCCCAGCACTCCAACACTCACCAGGCAGAGGCAGACAGATCTCTGTGAGTTCAAGGAGAGTCTAGTCTACAGAGTGAGTTGCAAGATAGCCTGTCTGGAAAAACAACGGAAAAAAGGGGGGAGGGGAGCACAATGTCTCTCTGTCTGTCTGGTTGTCTGTCTCTCTCTCACACACACACATACACACTACTCTCTCTCACTCTCTCTCACACACACATACTCACACACACTACAACAGAGCTGAAATTGCTCAGTTGAAAGCATATGTTACAACAAACCTAAAACAGGGTCAAAGAATTTTCAAGAGAATGAAATAACTCTTATAATATCCTCTACTCTCAAATACCTCCCCCCCCCATTATTCTTTCTTGTCTTCTGAAGACAGTGTCCTTTGCTTTACAGAAGCTTTTCAGTTTCATGAGGTCCCATTTATTGATTGTTGCTCTTAGAGCCTGTGCTGTTGGTGTTCTGTTCAGGAAGTTTTCTCCTGTACCAGTGAGTTCAAGGCTTTTCCCCACTTTTTCTTCTAACCGATTTAATGTGTCTGGTTTTATGGCTGGGCAGGATTAGCATAGTAAAAATGGCCATCTTACCAAAAGCAATCTACAGATTCAATGCAAGTCCCATCAAATTATCAACACAATTTTTTACAGACCTTGAAAGAAAAATTCTCAAATTCATATGGAATAACAAGAAACACAGACTTGCTAAAACAATGCTCTATAATAAAAGATCTTCTGGAGGTATCTCCATCCCTGATCTCAAGCTGTACTATAGAGCAACAGTAATAAAAACTGCATGGTACTGGCATAGAAACAGAATGGTGGATCAATGGAACCGAATAGAAGACCCAGAAATAAACCCACACACTTATGGACACCTGATCTTTGACAAAGATGCCAAAACCATACAATGGAAAAAAGACAGCATCTTCAACAAATGGTGCTGGTCTAACTGGATGTCTACATGTAGAAAAATGCAAATAGATCTGTACTTATCACCCTGCACAAAACTAAAGTCCAAGGTATACAACTTTTATATACAAACAAGAAAATAAGAATTGAATGCAATTTTCAAATTTGGCAACTCAGTGGTGAATAGGATTAAGGGTGTTTTAAAAACCTTCTTCTCTCCTCCTCCTCCTTGGTATGCAATAATTTCTCCGTAGTGACACAGTTTTATAACAAGAGAAATATGTAGAATAGATACTTTTAGCTAATTATTTGATGTTCAGTTCTTATTTGAAGGGTCTCCAGTCCTAAACACAAAGCTTGAAGAGAAAAATCACAGCCTTTATCTGGATTCCTACCTGTCAGGCATTGGAGCTGAAGGCCAATCATGTTATTTTCTCCTTCCTGTACCCCTGCTTCTCATTCTACAATGGAGAGAGAGGGGGGAGAGGGAGAAAAAGAGAGAGAGAGAGAAAGAGAGTTAGTCATCTCAAAAAGCTTCTTCAGTAGCTGTGGAATGCACCATTAGGTTCTAATTTCTAGATCCCAATCTCTCTTGTTTGTTTGTTTTACATATTGGTAATTTCATAGCATGAAACTTCTTACACTTTTCTTATATTTATTATCTGCACTTTCCCCTGAAACACAAACAAGATTTACACTATCGGATGATTGTTCACTTGTGGGTGCTGTTTTGTTTTGAGACACAATCTCACTCTGTAGCTCAGGTTGCCTCTTGAGTGTTGTGAGACACTTTGCACAACTAAAACTGTTTTTTTTTTAACAACTGATCATTTTTATTAGTTCATATGCTCAAAAGTAGCTGTCATGCTGTTATGGATAAAAGGAATCACTTTTAAAACTACTTTTCTGTAGTTATCAATTATATATTGGTCAATATTATGAATACATGAGATATATTCTTACATGCCCTGATGTGTACATATGCAAGCTCAATGTTACTTTTTTTAAAATTTTTTTATTAATTACACTTTATTCACTTTGTATCCTCCCATAAGCCCCTCCCTCTTCCCCTCCCAATCCCACCCTCCCTCCCCCTTCCTCATGCATGCCCCTCTCCAAGTCCCCTGATAAGAGAGGTCCTCCTCTCCTTCCTTCTGATCTTAGTCTATCAGATCTCATAAGGAGTGGCTGCATTGTCTAAATCTGTTTCTTAATAGGAATGATGGTGCTCCTTTTTTCCTGGGGACATTTTCAGCTGCCCCACCCAGACACTATAGGGCCAAGCAGTACATCCCTGGAATCCAGTGGGTGCAGCCCAGAGACATTAGGGAACAGGCTATAATGTGAAGAACTGCTGCCTATGACACTGAATGATATAGCCTCAAATATCAATGAAGCTGAGGCTGAGGCTGAGGGCCTCTGGCTTAGAATGACTTATAAAGTATGCTTTGATTTCCCAACCATTCTGAAGCATTTCTCCCTTGATAATGTGCTGGAGGATCTGCTATATAATAAAGCACCTTACAAGTCAGCAGTAGGGCATAAGGAAAGAATAACTGCCTATCTCTACATATTCCATCTCTGAAAGAGACCTAGAAATTGGTGGTTATATCTCTGGGTAGGAGAACCCAGTGGTTGGCCCACAGAGGCTGGTGAAAAGTTTTAAGAGTTTTGGAATGTGTTACCTATGTTTTAAACATACATGTTCCAAACACTGTCATCTATATATGTCAAATATACAATGCACTGAGTACATTCATCTCCAAGGTGTCTTTTGATGCTTGCAGCTAAGTATTACCAGCACAGGGAAAATGCTACATCTTTCAGGACAGACAGATTACAGACTTGACGGTACCTCTTGCTCTCTACCTTAGAGCATCTTGTGATCAGACATGGAGTCATGGTCCCTGCTTAGCCTCTAGATGACATCCCTGACCATTACCTCATTTCCTCTGTGAACCCACAGCTACCCAATCCCCTTGGATGGCATGTACCACATTAGGTTCAAATCGCTTGCTCACATCAGTGCTACAGCTCTTCAAGGGCAGGAAGAGCTGGCTCTATGTGTCAAAGAAACCTCACCATCAGCACTATCTCTAGGCCATACCAAGTTACAGCAACTCAAAATCTGCTCAAATGTCTTCGGCCAAGAAAGTAGTGAAATGGCTCAGAAGTTAAGAGTGTTTGCTGCTCTTGCAAACAACCTCAGTTTGGTTCCTAGCATCCACATCTGGTGGCTTGAAAATGACTGCAACTTTAGCACCAGAAGATCAGAGACCATCTTCTGAACTCTGAAGGTACCTACACTCACTTGTACACATACCCATACCTATACATGTATGCACAATTAAAAACAAAAACAAATGTTAAAATATTCTCAACCAAAAATTAACACATCTAACTTATAACACCATAAAGTATTATGAATACATTACAATATTACTTTCTGTGTTATTTGTGAGACAATTTCATGTGTCTGACACAGTCCTCAAAATTGCTCTGTAGCTGAAAGTGATCTTGAACTTCTGAACTTCCTTCCTCCATTTTGCAGAGGTGGGGATCGCAGGCATGCACCACCATACCCAGTTTCTGAAGCGTTATGATCAAACCTAGGATTTCATGCATGCTAAGCAATCACTCTACCAATTAAGCTATAGCCCCAGTCCTATTTGTGCTATTTTTTTAAGGTGTACATAAGCTTTACTTTTCCCTTCTGCAAATAGAGGCAGTGTTATAGAATCTGTCTGTTCTGGCTAGTTTTATGACACAAGCTAGAGTTATCTAAAATAGAGAAAATGCCTCCATAAGATCCAGGTGTATGTGTTTTCTCAATTAGTGATCAATGGGTAGGGCCCAGCCTGTTGTGGGTGGTGCCATCCCTTGGCTGTTGGTCCTGGGTTCTATAAAAAAGCAGGCAGAGTAAACCATAAGGAGCAAGCCCCTCTGTAAGAAGCACCCGCTGTAGCCTCTGCATCAGTTTCTGCCTCCAGGTTCCTGCCCTGTTTGAGTTCCTGTCCTAACTTCCTTCATTGATGAACTTCCTTCAATGTGAACATGTAAATCCTATCCTCCCCAATTTGCTTTTGTCATGGTGTTTCATCACAGCAATAGTAACCCTAACTAAGACATCACCATTTGGGGGGCTAGAGAGATAGCTCAGAGGTTAAGAGAAGAGAACTGGCTGCTCTTCAGAAAGTCATGAGTTCAACTCCCAGCAACTATATGGTGGCTCACAACCATCTATAATTAGATATGGTGTCCTCTGCTGGTGTGCAGGTGTACATGCAGACAGAATGTTATATACATAATTAATAAACAAATAATTTTTTTAATACACCACCATTTGGAGGTGTTGTGAGACTTAGGTGAACCATTAAGAGGAAGCAATACCTCTTTGTATGGGAGATGTGAGAGTGGAAATATATGTATCTACATAGAGTAATCACCCATATTTCCAGCTAAGTGGAATTGTTAAGAGTGTACACACACACACACACACACACACACACACACACACACACACGAAAACCATGCCAAATTTGCCTATATGCCATTATCAAACTGTATAAACCCATCTTTATGGAGATACATAAGACATATAACCGCTAGTGACTGGAAAAACTGTTACCCTTGAACAATAGTTCAGGCTCTTCAAACAACAATGCATTTTTGTTAAAGTTTTATTTTCTTTAATCTTACGTATTTTAATGTTTGAACACCAC